ATTGCCCAGGAGGTATAGGTGCTTGCCACTAAGTCTGACTACCTGATCCCTTAAAGACCTCTAAAGGAAAGCCTCAGATGGAAAAAGAACAATACTTATTATCTGTAAAACTGTTATTTCAAAAAATCAATTGAAATGGCCAGTTCTGCATATCATGGGCTTTAAAAAAAAAAAAAAAGCACACAGAAAAGGCCAGTGAGATTGCCCAGGAGGTATAGGTGCTTGCCACTAAGTCTGACTACCTGATCCCTTAAACCCACACTGTGGAAAGAGAGAATCAACTCCAGCAAGGTGTCCTCTGACCTCCAAATGCCATGCCATGGCACCACAGCCCCATACATCCAAATAGCCTATGTTAACACCCAACAAACAAGAAAGCAGAATAAAAACATGAAGACCATAGAAATGATAATATAAAAGGTATTTCTTGAACTCAGTATAAGCCCTGTAACACATAAAATTGAATGAGTTTTTAACCTTTAAAAAAGATCTCTATTTCATTTTAGAATATATTGTTCCTTGCAGAAAGACTCATTGTTTTTGCTACTAACACTGAGATGTTGGCTCATGCATCTCTAATCTGTATGTATCTGATTATTACTAGTCATAATCGGTTGCACTCGGATCCCTGATTCCTGTGTATGTCTATAAAGTCATCAGGTAGATTTCAATGGTAATGTTTATCACCTCTACTAATTAACATGATGTAAATTTCCAGGCTTCCTCCTCAAATATAATACATTTAAAAAATTTGTTGATTTTGTGTTTGTATATATACATAATATGTATATATATGTGTGTATATATGTATGACTGTATTAAATGAACTGTGAACCTAAAAATTTATAGCCACCTTTGAAAGAGATGTATCCTTGCTCTGGAACGTGTTACTGAATATATTAAAGCTGTAATGAAATGCTTCTAATCATGCGGTTATTAAATTTTAAAAAATTAAAAAAATAAAATAAACTTTAAAAAAATAAAGAAAAAATATTTAAAAAAAAAACAAAAAACAAAAAACCAAAGGTATTTCTGTACCCAATGGATGTCTAGACACCCACTCTGGAGACCTAGAGGCTAGACTTTAGTAGTCAGCTACAAAAGGGAGCAAGGTTGGCTGTAGTCTCCTCAAGTTTTGTTAAAAACTGCAAGCCAGGTCAGAAAGGATGTGTAAGTCAGATAAAGGGCAAAGGGCAGGACACTCAGAGGAGGAAACAGTGAAGGATCAGCAGTAGTTAAGGGAAGCATATCTCTTTCTTCCTCTAATAAAGTACCTGTGTTCTTTTTAACTCTCTAAGTCAAAACCAAATAAAGCACCTCCTGGAAACAACGGCCAGGTAGAGCAATAGTTTAAGAGGTCAGAAAGTCATTATGACCTTGGCAGGTCACTTTGCTCTCTGAAGCCTTCGGCCTTGGGCTGTCATATGTAATGGTAACCCTTACATAGATCACAAATGTATTTTGATATAAATAAGCCATTTCAAAAGAGAACGTTACAGCACTAAGCTCTTATGTACACCAGTCACTAAGTCAGGCAACACCAATTCTAGAGATGACGAATCAGGCCGTACTACACTATGACGTGACAGGTATGGGATTCATGCAAGGGGTTCTGAGCAGAGCCAGGGGTCGCAAGTAAAAGCATGTTATCCACTTGCCTTTTCTGTCTATACATGACCATGCCCACCTAGCAACCTACTGCTGGCCACCGTAATTACCTCAACAGCTTGCTACAGTCACCATGGGAATTTCAAGTCTATCAAAAGATTTGCATCAAGAGGTTTATTAAAGGCTTTTGGACCTATCCAAATTTATAATTTTAAGACATCCCAAGAAATAATCACAACTCTCTTTATACTGATCTCTAATAAAGCACACAGCACTGTTTTCGACACAGAATTCCAGCCAGGGCATTTTTGACCCACAAGCATGAAATGTCAGCAGAGTTTTTCTAAAATACTGAAAAACTGTTTCACTGAAAAAGACAAATATATTTAGCAATATATTTTCTATATCTATACTGGAATTATCCAAGAGCAATCTAACTGTAAGAAAATGAAATCTTTCCAACATATTTTCTTTGTCCTAGACTTACTCTTGGCAACCTACAATCAAACACATTTTGCATAGGTCTGTACTCTGTAACACGCCTTCTCTGCTGTACTGCAAAGTGTTCACTCCTTAAAAGTCAGTCATCAGTTGTTCTGTTGTGTTTAGCTTCTTGAGGCCTGTCAAGAAGGCATACACAAATCCTACATCTAAGAAAAGACTTCTGAAAGATTACACACTATATGCTCAAAGAACAATTCTTCACCCACGGCAGTTATCAGAGATCGGTGCCACGGCATTCCTCTTTTGAAACTTACATCCTGATTATACATTTGTGACAGTGGAAAACATGGATGTTACATATTCCCAAGGACAGAACATTCAAATGTCACGTGCATGCTATACAGGCATAAAAAAATTTTTATATTACCTGAAAATGGCAATACCAATTTTTTAAAAATTATTGTATTTGCTTTCAATTCCTAAGGGTAATAAAGTGTTTTGATTATTGTCTTTGATATTCCAAAAGACTTATAAGGCTTTAATGAGTCATACAAATAAACATTTTTCATGGATTTTTTAAAAAACACAACATGTAATTGAAAACAAGTACAAACAAATGTACATTTTGGCCATGATAATGGCATTAATATCTGGGCTGACAAGCAGGCTTGTTGGTCTGTTTCCTCGATGAGAGGTGAGTATAGATAATGCCATTTACGACTCCAATGGAAATTTAACAGCCTCCAGAGGTGGCCCCTTTGATAGATACCTGGAACACTTATAAGCCAGTTTAGCCCTATCTACACACACTGCCTTCTACCCTATACTATTTGGGATTATATTTATCTCTCCTGTCAGCTCTGAGCAGGGAGAGGCCTTGTCTTAAATACTTCTGTACTCCCTTTCAGCTTAAAAACAGAGTTAGGGGCATACTCACTGATTAATTAACAGCCACAGTAGAGGAGATATTTTCCATGGCAATCAGGAGATAATTAAGATACAGATACAGTAAGCTAACCGGAGAGACTGTTCTGTACCAGAGTAGAAACAAGGCCATGCAGAGACTTTGAAATAGCTCATTCAGAAACAAAGCAAATGAATTCACCCAGCACAACCATTTTCAGAAGGTACAACAAAATTTATCACATTATTATTGCTTAAGTTTAAAATGTTTTTGTTTTGTTCTCACAGGCGAAGCTGTGTTTTGTACAATTCCCTGCTGCCTATTTCTATAATGCCATCTCATGTCTGTAGAAAGACTCTCACCCTAAGAACTGGACTATTCAAAATCCAAGACAAAATTAAACAATGTGCCTTTCCACTCCTACGTTCACATACACAGAATTTTGCTAACAAAAACAAAGATCATCGTCTGTTTGACTTTTCATTCACACTCTTGAATGACAGGTTGTTTTATTTTTTTTTAAATTCCTGTCAGAAAAAATCCCATACCACTTGGCTTTAAAAATCAATCACCACTAAATTCTTTCTCTTTTTCTCCAACCTCAATTTCTCAGCGAAAATGATGAAGCAATTCCATATTTAAAATAACAGTTATGAGGCATTTTAAGTTATAATGTATGGTAGTGACAATGTCGGTGTCTTTATCACTTTAAACGTACAGGCACAGGGGAGGACAAAGCCTGAACATCCTCGGAGGTTTTCTAACAATGGTCTTGGTAGAATTTCTTCATCCGACATATATTTATATTAATTTTTCTGTGGTCCCCTCCTCTTTCAGATTGGATAATGTGTGTGTGTGCTCCTTTCCACTTTGAGAAGTGAGTCTGCCTGTCTGCTCCCCTATCTTTTGTCTAAGAACGCCAAAGGGCTTCAGTATTTCACTTTACCACCCTATGAAATCACTAGTACATCAGGCACTGGAGGGTTGATGAGGTAACTAGACAACCAGAGGGCTCTGGACAGCCAACCAAAAACGAGGTCTCCCCCTAGCTCCTTAAAACTAATCAGAAAACCAGATAAGGCCCTCTGGAGCCTCTGGGCTGTTTTACAGGTCATGAGGATTTTAAAACAACAGTAACAAAAAAGCCACCTTCCCTACAAAGGAACTTGCTTGCACACACACACACACACACACACACATAGACACACAGACACACACACACACAGACACACACACACACACACACACAGTACTTTTCAGAGGTGGAAATATAACTGCCCTTATGCTCCTAGTTTTCAAGAGTTCAAACACCGGGGACATCTACATCTTGATAAAAATAAAAAATAAAAATTCCTGAGGGCAATTTGATGGGACACAGAAGAATCCTTCCTTCAAAGAAATGCACCTAGTGACACTCCGAGGAGACATATTTAAAGTAAAACCTGCCCCTGAGTCATGAAGAAAAAGCCGGTGGTTTTTAAACATTTTGCTCTTGCCCAGGGGCCACAGAAGCAGCTGTTCGTGGAATTCTTCCACTCACCACTACTGATAGAGTAGCAAGTCACACACACACACACACACACACACACACACACACACACACACACACACGCACGCACACCCCTCACTTCCACTGTCGTCCCTCCCCGTTTGGTACCCATGCCCCCAAAGGTGGACAGGACGCTACAAAAAGCCAAGTCATGGGGCAATGCGGGGGGTTGGGGGGATTGTGTGCTTTGCAAAGATGACTGAAAGATCCAGAGCAGCCAGGGTGGGAGAGGTTCGGCGGGCTCTGGGCTATGGCCAAGCATCCATCCGCTCGGGTGGGGGACCCCCAGGATGCTGGGGGTGCCGTGCAACCGCCCTGGATGCCCTCCATCAGCTCCCCTCCTGGAGGGAGAGAGGCAGGACCACCCGGGGGTGGGGATCGGAGGCCCCGGGTTGGGGGGGGTCCAGGCGGGCTGGGTCCAGGTGCCCTGCTGGGGGCGGGGAGGACCGCGCGCCCCGCCATCCCGGGGGAGGCGGGAGTAAGCCCGTGACTCACGTTCTCCGTGTCCCGCTCGTTCACCGTCGGCAATGGCGTCCGCGCCGACATCTTGCGCGGGCGGCAGGGTCGGTCCGGGGGTCCGGCGGGTCGCGGGCCGCGGAGGGCTTCGGCGAGGGCGGGCGCGCGAGCAGGCCAGGC